TACACAATTGATGTGTGTATGGATTGGGATAACAGTTGTATGAGCCCCTAATAAAATGTTAAAAAGAAAGAAAAAGTAAGACTTTAAGTCCACACAATCCACCATAATTAAGAAGGGAAAGCTCTTCCGTACATTAAACATCACTGGTGAATGTAGGGGAGAAAACAAATGAACCAATTGCTATTAAGTTCATTTCAGTCATTGTGATGACCCCATGAGTTACTGAGTAAAATTGATCCAAAGGGTTTTCTTGGATGTACTCTTTACAGAAGCAGATTGGCAGGTTTTTCTTCTGCAGCACTGCTTAGTGAATTCACATCAATAACTTTCGATTAGTAGTTAAGTACAAACCATTGGTACCACCCAGTAACTATGAATATAGAGTAAATCAAACCCACTGTCAGCAAGGCAATGCCAATTCAGAGTGGCCTTTAGAGTTTCCAAGACTGTAAATCTTCACTGATGCAGATAAACTCATTTTTCTCCTGTGGTGTAGAAGATGGGTTTGAACTGCCATCCTTAAAATTAGCAATCCAGTGCTTACATCACAGTGCCAAAAAGCCTCCTTGTGAAAGTAGAAGCACTGATGAAATTAGAAAATCACCATTTTCTCTATCATTACAATAACAATTGACTCATGCAAATCTCTAAGTATTTAATCATAATATACATATTAATTAATTAACTAATTAATTAGAACTTTACAGAAAGTTGGCAGACAATTCCTTTGCCAAATGATCAATATCAGATTACAATTAATCACCAGCATTTGTTTACTGGTATGATGCACTCTCATGGGTGGAATCCCTGCAAAAAATACTTAACTTGGATCTAATCACAAGTAAACATCAGATAAGCCCCGAATGCAGGACATTCTACAGAATAACTTACTCTGCAACAATGCACTCACTCTTCTTTCATGAAATATAAAGAAAGAATAAAGCCTTCCAGACTAAAGTAGTCTGAAAATACAAGACTGCATGCAACATTTAAGCTTGGATTGTCTTTCCTTATAAAGGACATTATTGGGATTATTGGCTTTCTCAAAAAAAAAAATCTCAACAAGGTCTGTAAAATTAGATAATAGTTACTTTCCTAATTTTGATAATTATACTGTAAATATGTAGAACAATTCCTTGTTTAGGAAACCTACATTGAAGTGTTTAGTAATAAAGAGGTGTCAAGCCCACAACATACTCAAACCATTCAGGAAAATGATGAAACGAATATAGTAAATACCAACATCTAGAGAATGTATGTTAAGGGTATGCACACATTTTTTGTATTACTTATGCAACTCTTCCTGAAAATCTGAAATTGTGGAATTAAAAACTGAAAAGCTATATTATAAACAGCACAGGATAAATATCTATTTTTTTGAACTTTCTGTAGTATGGAGTAATTCATAGCCACTATTTTTCCCCCCATTCTACTGTTTCTTATTCAAATATGCTTTTGATATTGCCACCTTCTTGCTAGAAGAAAATACATTTTACTATTTCAGATAACACCAAAACCGAAAACCCGCTGCCATCAAGTCAATTCTGACTCATGGTTCAAGACTAAATGTTCACGAGACTTTCTCCCTTAGAGAGGCTGGCACGTGGAACCACTGGTCTGTCTTACAGTTAGTGCTACCAGGGCTCCCATACGGTAAATCACAGCACGGAAAACTTAAAAGCTCTCTACAACATGACTAAAACCCAGCCGCTGGTCCTTTAAGATACCCAGTAGATGATATTTTTTTTTGCTATAATAAGTATTTCTAAAATATCCTAGTTCTCAAAAGTACATAAATAAATCCCATTTATTGAACTTACAAAATACCTCAGTAAATTGCATGATTATAGCAAGAAATGTAACTGATACAGTTTTAGAGATAAATTCACACATTGTAAGCAAAAAGCTCAACTAGTAAGACAACCAGCAGAAGCTTATTTTCTTGCAGTTTGGGAGACTAGAAGTCAAAATTCCAGGTGCCAGCTGAGGGAATGTACTTCTCTCTGCTTGTTTCCTAGTTCCCTTGAGAACTCCATGTGGCTTGGTGTTCATCTCTGCCCATTTCTGCTCAGCTGGCTTGTTTGATCACTTTCAGATCTCAAAAGAGATTGGTTTACCCTACACCAATCCTGTCTCCGTAATATAACAGAGGTAACTGTATAAGTCTAGGTACTTTAAAGAAACAAATCCACAGCAACTCATGTATAAGAGAGTTTTATGTAAAGAAAAGGTGCATCACGAAAACATCCCAACCCAATGCTGCCCAAGCCCACAAGTCCAACATTAACCCATTAGCCCAACACCAGTCCACAAAGTCCTCCACCTCACAAAACAGAGGCAATGATGCCGACTGCAGGAGGAAAGCTGAGTCAGTGAACAAGTAAGCATCTCAGCACTAGCAGGGGTCTCCACACAGCTGCTCCAGCACCCAGGGCTGCATTGGAATAGGTCCATGTGGCTTCTCCTTGGGGATATCTTGTAGGAAGTCAATCTTGCAAGTTGAAGCAGGGAACTGCTAAGGCAGCTGCACCCTGGTGCGACCATCACAAAGCAAGAGACCCGAGAACTAGAAAGACGAGGCTCACCACCCATTTATCCCTCCGCCTTTCAATTAGTCCCACATGTGATTATCGGCCAGGTTGGCACAATTAACTAACTCAGTAACACATTCCCTAAGGGATTACAACAATAGGCACAGAGGTCAGGATTTATCATACTTACTTGGGGGACACACAATTTAATCCGTAACCATCAGTAAATACACTTTACAGAGGAAATTAGATCATCAGTGAATTGAAAGGGTTAGTTATGAAAATTTCTATTATTTGCTACTCCAAAGCTACTCCAGAATTCTACGATATATAGTAACTTGGACATTTATTTCACATGTTAAGTGATTTCTAAAATTTAATTTCCATGTGAAAAAGATTCTACAGGAAAAAAATCCTGATCAAAAGCCAAATTTGGCATCTGCCAATTATTTCAAGTATTCCTGGCCAGTTCTGTTGCCAACAGTGTTCTGTTTCTGACACTGAGAGGACCACACCTCTTTAGGGAAGAATTGTTTTCAGCTAAAAATTAGAACATGAGAACTTATAATAGCCAATAAAGGTTTGTTCTTTATTAAGTACTAATGGCAAATAAAATGATTTACTAAGAAAGTAGAAGTGGCTTTCAAAGACTTCCAACAAAAAAATAAAAAACATTTTCAAAATATTTCAAACTTTAAGGATTATCAAATAGAAGGTTATAAAAGTATTTAATAATAATAAATAAAAGATCTATCTTGTCTTTTAAAAACAAACAAGCAGCAACAAAAACAAAACATGTTACTATTAAGTACCTGGAGAGCTAGCTGAACGATGCAGGGCAGTCTACCTAACTGTGCTCACCAACCCCAAAGCCAACTCCACATATTATAATGAGAATGGTGCTCTTTGGAGTCTCGCAATGCAATAGTCCTGAATGGACTCATTTTAAACTTACAGTTGTCTTAAATCTCACTATACAATCAAGAGGAAAATATATTACCTGTGTATCAAGATAGTCAGAGATCAGAGCCCCCTCCTTGTTGTAGGTATAAACTACAAAATCTTTGGGTAAAAGGTCTCTAAAGAGAAATAAAACACATAATTTACAATTATCATATTTATATACAAGTAAGGTCACAACTCATAGAAGACATTATTTCTAGAACAGATGAATAAATAAGATAATCACACCTGTGCAATTGAGAAAGGGCCCTGGAGGAGTAAGGGTTGGCTTGAAAGTATTTAAACCCCTTAGTAAATTTGGCAGGAGCTCTGATGACGATGGTTCCTTGGGAGAAAGATGAGGCTGTCTGCTCCCATAGAGACTGACAGCCTCAGGAATCCCATGGGCAGGTCTATTATGTCCTGCAGGGCATATTGACTGACTCAATGGCAGCAGGTAACAAATATCTGCATTTTCTCTTGTGTCATTTCAATTAATTAAGCCTGGATAATAGAAGCATCCTTTCTTCTCCCCCACTCCCTCAGAACCCCAGTGATGAATCTGAAAGAAAAAAAAACTGGAGATGCTTGGCTTTGTCCTGTGCTCTTTCCTCTTTGGAAATCACTGATTGCCCAACAAGGACACAAATTCCACTGTGCTTCTCTAGAGTTCTTGTGCAACACTGATGTCAATGGGTAAATCTCCCTAATATTGAAATGCAGTATTAGTAGGTCCATTAAGCTATCATTCTAAATTAAATCCTCCAAACTACTCTTTATCAGTAACAAAAGTCATATTTGACCCTGCTGGCATAATGTTACAGGTTAGACTGCTAACTGGAATGTTGGCAGTTCAAAATCACTAGTCACTCTAAGGTAGAAAGATGAGGTTTTCTGCTCTCAAAATATTTATAGCCTTAAGAACCCACAGAGACAGTTCCACTCTGTCCTACAGGGTCATTATGAGTCAGAATTGACTCACTGTCAATGAATTTGAATTGTTTTTTGTTTGTTTGATTATCCAAGTTCAGGTATTGGTAGGCACTGAGCTGCTAGTTGTAAGGTTCAAAATTCAAATCTACCAGCCATGCCACAGGAGTAAAATAAAGCTGCTTGTTCCACAAGGATCTGTTCTCTGAACTCCATTTAGGGTTGCTATGACTTCAGATTCAACTCGATGACAGTGGGTTCAGTTTTGGTGATAACTCGTTCAATTTCATATTTTATTTTTAAATTTGCTCTTAGGTAAGGGAAACTCAAAATAGTATGGATTCTACTCTCATTATTCTCTTTTGTTATCAATCTACTAAACTACTGTATCTAACTAGAAAAGAAGCCAATAATAGGTTAAAAAATAAATAAAAATAAAACTGAAAAGATAAAGTAAATAAAATATCTTACTTGTTCCTTTCCAGGTGAATAATATGTTTTTTTCCTTTGAACTGAATGACATAAGATACCTAAAAGCATAGAAAAAGAAAAAATAATATAACACCATTTTATAAATTACTTTTCAATAGGTCATTTCCATACTGATTATAATTATTTCATAGAAGAACTTTTTTTTTTTAAAGAAGAATCTATGTACTTGAATTGTAGTGCTGGAGAATATTCAAAGTATCATGGACTACTAAGAGGACAAAGTGACCTGTCTTTAAAGAAGTATTGCTAGAGAGCTCCTTAGAGGCAAGGAAGGCAAGGCTTCCTCTGCAGAAGGACATCATGACTGGTAAAGTGGAAGGTTGGTAAACAAGAGGAAGGCCCTCGACAAGATAGACTGACCCCGTGGCTGTGAAAACGGGCTCGGGCATGGGAACAATTGTGAGGATGGCACAGGGCCGTGCAGTGCTTTCTTCTGTTGTGGACAGTGTCACTATGAGTCAAAACTGACTGGATGGTACTTAACAGCAATACTTAACCATTTCAGGAGTTAGCATCTGATAGTACAGAAGAAAAAAGTCCAAGTTAAAAGATGGACATTGGGCCTCGACTCACGTACTCCCTCAACACAAGAACACTTTGTTCTAACAATCCGGCATTCTATGATGCTCACCTTCCCGACACGATCACTGAAGACAAAATGGGTGCATAGGCAAATGTGAAGGAAGCTGGTGGTGTCCAGCTATCAAAAG